CCCATGTCTCTTGCACTATACTAACACTTAACATTATTGTTGTATTATTTAGGAAAAGGTAGTTGGATGAGTTCAAACAATTAAGGCGTTTTCTAGCATGTATTCACAATATATTAATAAGGGGAATTGAAAAAAGAGATGGTTTGTGGAGTTTCCTTATATAGCTTGGACTTTGCGTGTTTTGAGGAGTTTGATATCCATGCTAACATAAGGATGAAGGTGTTTGAGGTATTTAGTTTCTATAAAAGAATGCAAAATATTGTTTGAATGAAGAAAAAATATCAACAATAGTTTGTAATGGATTTAATAGAATAACAATATAAGCTTTTGATGATCCTAGAGAGTTTAAAGTAACAAATGACAAGCCTTAATTAATTGGATAGGCATTTGAAATTCTTTTTGATAAGGGTGTGTGGGAGGAGATAGTTGGGAACAATTAAAGATATTATTTAGACCGATATAAGAGAACAAAAAAATAGACATAATCATGGTGAGCTTTATAATATTAGCTTTTGTGCGTAAAGATTTTCTCTCACAATTTTTAGAGCGAATAGTTCATTCTATCAAATCAGTTAGCTAAGTTATTTCATCTTTTTAAAAATGGATTTGATTCTGTATGATCTGAGCTCTCTCTTTATCTTTCATAGCTTGGATTATTACTAGTTTTGTAAGAAAAGTGAACTTTCAAAATATAGTTTGTATTTGTTTCCTCTCTCTCTTGTAAAAACTTAATCTACCTATATAAATAAAAATACTCATAAAAAATATATAGCTTATTGGATATGGAGTAGCTTTTTTGTAAGGGTAATAATAGTTGTCAAATCTTTTACGATATATTTCACTAATTGGATTGTCTTGTCACCTTTTTTTGAAATTTTATGACTTTCTCAAGATTTCACACATATTATGCCTATATATTATGATTACCAAGGAGAAACTCTATTGGAAAGTTTTATCATATCCACTACTTTATAAGTTAAATAACTAAATTAGTCTTAAAAAGTCACTTGTTACATAGTTAATAGTCTTAATGGGTTGAATCTAGGCCTACAACACATAAAACATATAAATAGGAGCAATGCCATATCGGTTACTAATCACAATTAAGTAGATTATTCATGAAAGTTCGGTGATTTCACGAGTGTTACTCGGGTTAAAGACTGTTGAGACACCATTAATTTCTCATGCTAACTTAAAACAATGCATATGATAAAAGTATTATGTAGTGGGTGCATAAATATAATTTCATTTCCAATCTAGATAAATCAATAAAAAGAGACAATGCATAAAATAAAAGCATATAAAAATTGATCATATATAATAATAATAATAATAATAATAATAAGAGACGGACACACATTAATCACTTTAGGAAGATAAGTGCAACAAAGGTATTTAAATAATGCATCAAAGCACAACTACCACATTATCATTAAAAAACAAACAAACAAATCTTAGCCCTAAACCAAGTCTCTAGTGGAGTCTATATTCTGTTATAAGTGGTATTTTAACCAGTTATATGTAAAAAGAGTAAAAAAAAATAAAAATAAAGTTGTTAAGTTTTATGATAACTAAAAAATCTTAACTAATCTTTAAAGGTTCTAGATAAGAGGTTGATTATATAACAGAGAATATAACAATTATCTTATTTATCCTATCCTAAAATAAGCTACTTTTTGATTGTTTTCAATAATAAAAGATACTTATTATACTTAAATGCTAAGAATTTGCCTAAACTACTATATATGTGTTTATTATTAAGATGTTAAAGATTACTATGACCTAAGATAATGATTTATGACTTCAATATGATAACAAGACCTAATCCTCAATTTTAGAATATGAATGTTGAGTTTAAAAGGATGATGAACAAATTATAAACATAAATATTTTTAAGATTATATTGATTGAAATAAATTTGAAGGCCACCACTCACATTTTATGTATATAGATGATGTCAAGTTAACTCAATCTAAATTCACTCATTATAGTATGAGGATATAACATGGTCTAAAAAATATCTAATTAAACATATATATATATATTCAAAATTAAAATTTCATAAATAATAAATATAAACGTTAAAGTTATATTTATAAACCAAGGTCTAGAACAATATTTACAAAATGTTTATTATATGTATTTTTTTTAAAATAAATATATAAATGTTGTCACTTTGAAAGTAATCCCTTTAGTAGGTTAGTGGTTGATTGAATAGTCAAGAAAACAGAGCAACAGTGTATTGTCAAGGGCATTTTAGAATTTACAGATCCAAATTCATACATTCAATAAAAATGATATATTTTAAAAATAATAGCATGTATCAACCATTCCCATTTTTCTTTCAAGTTTTGTAGACAAAATCAATTGAAAGATCATAACATCCCTGAGTTGAATCTTAGATATAAAAAAGAACAATTAATATATAACATTAGAGAAATAAATTCCATCATAGAAATACAATGGCCTTGGAATGCATACTTTAGTCATGTATTAACCAACTATATTATTTGTTAGACAACATCAAAAGTGAAGGGAAATATAATGCAAATAGTTAAGGATATGTATATTAAAAGAGAAGTTTAATTTGAAGCTTATAAAAGTTAAGACCTGATAAGAAATGCTAGAGTTGATTGAACCATGTATATGATGTTTGTTTGAGTTTATAAAGAGACTTGTGAAGTTTGCATGCAGAAGAAATGTGAGGATGAACAAAACCTAGAGACTACTACATGCAAACATCAATTGTTAAAAATATATTATAAACATCTAACTGATAAATAAACTAACTTTTAGAAATAGCAATAACCAAAAACCTGATTTGATTAGATCTTGTTAAAGTTAGTATCTTTTTTTAAACAAAAAAGTTGTGCAAGGAAAACACAAGTTTTTAATACCTATGAGCCCATCTATCTAAGCTTGACAAGTACCACTGTAATTAAATTTGGTTCCTTATTCAGTGTGTGCCGAATTAATATCTTCTTTCTCTAGTTGATTAAGTGTTTCATTAGGATCCACCTTCAAAATCCGTTTGTTAAAATCTGAAGACATTAACACCCTTCATCTCTAGTCTCCATCTCCCTGATTTATTAATCTTTAGCGCCGACAACCTCTATCTTTAGTTTATGCCTCTTTCCTCTTCGAGCTTTTGCAATTATTTGTAAGATAGAACTTTTGAGATTTATAATAAGGAGCTTTTTTTCCTCTCTTTCTCTCTTATGCATGTTATGATTATGATTATGGATAAAAAATAGCATGTGGTTATGAATTAGGCTGAAGTTTGTAAGTAGAAACTTATATAACTTGTTTCTTTTGATTATTTGATTATGATAAACAAAGCATGCATATTTTTGATTGGCCAACGAGATTCTCGTCACTTTCTATTTCTTCATTATCAAGAATTGGAACTGGAGAGCTTTTTAACATTGATGTTATGTTTTTAATGAATGTTTGTGGATGAAAGTTATCTGAGAACTCATTTAAGATCTGCTGACTCAATTGATCGAACATTCATCACATCCTAAAGATATTTGTTTTGTTGGCTAGACTGTCAAATCATACATGCTTCCTAGAACTAAGAGTAAGATTGTTGTTTACTTTTGACATGGACAATACCACTAACTAATAACAGGAACCTAAATAGGTTATGTTTATAATGATGCTAGAAAATTTCTTTAATTTTGTTTAAGATTCTTTGGTTAAGATGATTTATCTTTATTATTTATGATCAGAACTAAAGGCAATTATTATATGTTCTTGATGTCTATTTATTGTTGGCTTCATGTTCATATTTATACAAGATAACTAGATGTCAATTCCCATTTAGAGATTTAAACTAGCAAATTTGATCTATTATTGCTAATATCCAAGATTTAAAGGTTTAATACAAAAGATTTGTTAATAAAACTTCAAAAGATTTAAGTAAATAAGAAATTGTTAAAGCTCAATTTAAAACAAGCATTGGATTTCTAGTTTTTAAAGGGAAAAACTAAATTGAATCAAGTTCAATGAGATCAATTTAAATTAATTTTCAATTTGATTTGGATCAAGATTTTTAGAAATTAAAAAAACTAGTTTGATTAAATTATTTTACTTCAAATTAAATCGGACAAAACCATTAACACCCCTTCTTATTGTAGATACCTTTTACTAACCATGTCTTTGCTTTGTGTCAAATCCGTGTTAGGCTTAGGAACCAAGTCCTCTCATTCGTTGTAACTTGACTTCAAGTCGTTGTGTTTGCTCCCACAAAAAATAAAAAAAAGAGTCAACGCATCTGTAGCATGTTCACTTCGGTTAAAAGTAAATGAACATCATCAATAGTGGTAGAATTGCATTGATACACTCGCTCACAGTTGAATGCTCCTCCACAGAGTTCTTACCACTCTCATTATTAAAAAATTTCTTACACCCCGAACATGGAAACTCCGTACCGAATGAGCTGTTTCGACAGTAAGAGATTAAATACTTGAAGTTGGATCGTTGGATCCCTTTTTTTTAATTCATTCAAACCGTACAATTCAGACAAGTCAACATCTACTTTTGAGATGCTATATTTACCCTTGCTCGTTGAAAAATAATAATAAAATTTCTTCCATAATATTAATATCAATGTCTGAATCGATTAAAAGAAGAAGGTAACTCAAAATTACTAGATGATGCCGTCATTTACGCAGCTGTTACAGATTTGCGTAAATATTACGTACTGTAAAAATGCTGATGCATGCCCAACAAAAAGGCATGATGGCATGTTGCTAAAAGCCTTTGCTGAAGTTACAGGAACCTTTATAAAATACATTCTAGGGTTGTCCTTCATTGTCATTATTATTATTTTTTAAATAATTATTTATGTTAAGATATATTAATAATATATATTTTTTATTTTTAAATCAATATATTAAAATAATTTAAAAATACTAAAAACATGTTAATTTAAAAAAATAAAAGATTTTTAAATTCTTTTAAAAATCCTTTTAGAAAGAAGCAGCCCAACAACTACAACGTTTTATGCACAAGAGCACTGACAAAACTAGACAAAACTAGGGTTGGGTTGTCTTCATTTCCTCCTTTTGCTTCATGGGTTTTTGTTGAATTTTTAGTATCTTCACTTTGTTGGCACTGAATGAATTATAGATTTCAACTTTGGCTCTGAAGGAAAACTGAATTTAGTGAACTCGGCTCTAATTATCTATTGTCAAGGTTTGGAAATCTTGCTTTATTTGCTGAAATGAGCCCATCTTGTTTACTCTATAGATAGTGTGATATTTCTTTTGTTTATATCTCAGTTGGGATTTCGTTGGTTTATTTGAACTGAAGAAGCAACTGCATCTTGGATTTGGTTTATGCTTTGTATCTTGTAGTTGAGGAAATAAGAAATTTTGGATCCTCATGTCATTTTCTTCAAGTTGAATTCATTCTTGTCTGATTTGCGGATTTTGAGTTGTGATTCGCTTAGGTATTAGCACGAGGAAGAGACAGTGATGGTATTGGACTTGGGGGTTGGTGTAAGTGTACGGACCGTTTAACTTCTGCTGCGAATGGCTACTGGAGGAAAGAGTAATGAAGAAATTGATTATAAAAGTAGAATCGGGATTTTGGATCAGAATCTTGATCAACCCATGGACGCAGAAGCTGAGAAGCTTACGAACAAGTACGAGGATGAGGTATAATGTCACCGTTTGTTCTTTTCAATACCTTGCCAAGCGAACTGTTTCAAAAGCCAACAATATATTTTTGAAAGAACAGTTTACCGAATGAGCTTGTTTATTATTTAATGTAATAACAACAGATGAAACTGTAGGAATGATATTATAAATTTTGTTGAATTAAAGCTTGCATTAGAGTCGATGGCATGCTATACAGGCATGGCAGCCTACACTATGAGAATAAAAAGACTGATAATGTGGTTGATTTGCACCCTGCTTTTATTCTTTGTGCTAATTCTGCTTTATTTCTTTCAGAAATTCTCTCGATTACTGCTTATGCAGCTTGCTTTCCAAAGCCTTGGAGTGGTCTATGGAGATTTAGGCACGTCTCCTTTGTATGTCTTCTACAATACGTTTCCAAATGGAATTGAAGATCCAGAGGATTTAATTGGAGCTCTATCATTGATCATATATTCCCTTACTCTTATCCCGCTCCTGAAGTATGTTTTCATTGTTTGTAGAGCAAATGACAATGGCCAAGGTAAATCATTAACTTGTTTTTATTGAAATTCAATTATAGCAATAAAAAGAGATGAAAAAATTTGCTTACATTACAATATTGACATTAGTATAGTATGCGATGACATGATATTTTTGGAACTATGAATATTGTTATGGTCCCGGCTTGTGTACATAGTGGAAATGATCATTAATAAAAACAAAAGTACTTTTATTCAAACATGTCAACATGCAATGTAAAACCAAATGCACATGATTAATCAGTACAGGGTACTTTAGACTTCCGCTTGCATTTATGTACTAAAACGAAAAGAATAGTCTCCAACCAGCCATCTTGAAGGCAATGATGTTCTCGCATATTTTTTTTCTGGTTATGTAAATAAAATGTATAGAATATTAGATGACTTTTGAAAATCTTAATGTAAAGGAAAGCTAAGTATCTTCTCTTACACATGTTGGAAAAAAAACATGGATTTATTTATTATGGAGTGTCATATACATCTTGCTGTGATCTGACAAAAGTTCCAATTTTCCAGACTGGTTGGACTGATTTTCATTTTTATGCTAATATGTAAAAGGTGATTTATGTTCTTTAACTTTCTATTTTCTCTGATATTACCATGTATTCAATGATTTCACTTCCTGCCTATAAAGTGAAGCATAATGTAGCAGTATCCTTCTTTTAGCAAGGAATGTATTTGTATCTGAAGCCAGTAAAGAACTAGTAAGTTTCTTGGAACTTATCCCATTCATCATGCAGGTGGGACATTTGCTCTTTATTCACTACTATGTCGACATGCAAATGTGAAGACTATTCATAATCAAGATCGTACAGATGAGCAGCTAACTACTTATAGTCGTGCCACATTCCATGAGAATTCTTTTGCTGGAAAGACCAAGAGATGGTTGGAGGAACATACCTTCAGGAAGAATGCGCTTCTTGTTCTTGTTCTTGTTGGCTCTTCCATGGTAATTGGTGATGGGATTCTTACACCAGCTATATCAGGTTTCCTTCCCTTAGAACCACTATCTGTCCTCCTATCTTTTTACCAGAGCTGTTTGTTTCACGGAATTGTGATAGATAAGCAGAGTGTATCTATAATCCAACACGTGTATATGCCATGAAAATACAAGCAATGAATTGCAGGGTGTGGGATGGTCCATGGACGAGAGAAGAAAAACTCATCGTCTCTGATAACAATTTTTCACCAATAGTTTAACATATGGATTTTGGTCAGTGGTTAGAATAAATTAGCTCCTTTAGTATTTGCAGAGATATGTAGTCATGTTTGTTTAAATAACTCAGCAGAGCACAAAAAAATTGCCATTTAGTTTCAGACTTTCACCACCTTCTCTAGCATGTTGAATGCATAAGAAGAAAAGGTAGGAAAATATATAAAACTCACAGTACCATCAAATGTGACAAAATTACTTAACCATCCATCAAAGTCATCCAAGGCAAACATAATGCAGGTGCTTATGTATGTGTGTCAAAGGTTTAAAATAAAGCTGGATTAGAAGTCCTTTGCTTTAATTAAAATAACTAAATGATGCAAAATTTTCATTTGTAGGAACACGTTTCAAACTATGATAAATTTATTTGCATTATGTCTGGTTGCAAAACATAATAGGAGTGCCATATTAAAAACTGTTGGAGTGATGAAGAGTGCATATGCTCGGATACCCTGGGTTATGTTCTGGACTAACTGAAACGTTTTTGTCTTTTAGTGCTTATGCACATAAGTCCACATATGGAAGACTTCATTCCAACTTTGATAAATCAACAAAAATTATGTGGCTAATACATGTATCTTTCTTTCTTTGCTACATGTGGCAGTGCTGTCTGCTGTTCAAGGAATCAAGTTAGAGCACCCCAAGATGAGTAGTGGTATCTTCCTACTGAAATTGAACAGCTTCTTGCATTTACATCAACTTAAACATTTGTCCACTAATATTATGTTTTAAAGTATCAATCAGTTACTATTTCTCTGTGCATCAGATGTGGTTGTGCTTGTTGCTGTTGTCATATTAGTAGGCTTGTTCAGCATGCAACACCATGGTGTGGATAGGGTTAGTTGGCTCTTTGCACCAATTGTGCTCCTTTGGTTTCTCTTGATTGGAGGGATTGGCTTATTCAACATTTGGAAATATGATACGGGTGTTCTGAAAGCCATTTCACCAGTGTACATATATCGTTATTTCAGAAGGGGAGGGAGAGACAGTTGGCTGTCCCTCGGAGGTATCATGCTTAGCATAACAGGTGAACTCTGAGTTTTCATTTGATTTAAGTTCGCTTTTATTTTTAACCCTTTTGACATTCATCAAACTTGTGTACAATAAACTGGTGACTTTACTTGTCTTGAAATATTACAGGAACTGAGGCCCTCTTTGCAGACCTATCTCATTTTCCTGTACCGTCTATACAGATTGCTTTCACAACAGTTGTTTTTCCCTGCCTACTTCTTGCCTATTCTGGACAAGCTGCCTACCTCACGAAGAACACAAGTCATGTAGTTGATGCATTTTACAGCTCTATTCCAGGTTTACAATGACTTCCTCCATTTCTATTTTCATAGGGTGCCTGACTATTGTGACTGGAATGGCATGGAAATGAGAAATAAAATTGGGAGCATCAAATAATATGTGAACATGATTTTTGTCATAAAAATCGGAAAAACCTGTCAGCAAATGGTGCTTACATGGATAGAAAGCACTGGGAACAGAGAACAGTTAAATCCATTGCTGTGAAAGTATTTACACCTAAATCTGTTGGAAAATTGCAAGTTTATACAAGAATCTCTATTATAAACACCAACAATTATTACCTCCAAGAAGAGTACGTGTTAATGACAAACAGCAAATCACTCACTAATGATAGGTACATCTTCTCCAAAACTCTGGGAGAAGTAATTCTTATAAATTTTTGAAGAGAAACAATGGAGCTGGTTCTGTTTATCAACTGAATTACTTTAACATGGCTGCTATGTTTTTTAATCCTTTCCTCTTTAGTAATTGACAAATTGAACAAATGAATGGGCCCAGCACTTTGTGTAACAAAAACCCAAGAAAGCAGTCTCTGATAGTATGATTTAGTTATTAATCTAAAAACATCTTTTCCTGTTTTGTTTTTGCCTGGATTTTTTTTTTCGTGAAAATCGACAGAATGTTGTCAAATGTGGTTGATGGAATTGGAATTTTTATAATCTAAATCGGGTAACATTTATCATTCTGCAGATAGCATTTATTGGCCAGTACTTCTAGTTGCAACTGCAGCTGCTGTTGTTGCAAGCCAAGCCACCATATGTGCAACTTTTTCATTAATCAAGCAGGCCCTTGCACTTGGTTGTTTTCCCAGAGTTAAAATTGTACATACATCAAAAAGGTTTCTAAGCCACATATATATTCCAGACATTAATTGGATCCTTATGATTCTCTGTGTTGGTGTGACAGCTGGTTTTAAGAATCAAAGCCAAATTGGAAATGCTTCTGGTATGTTCATGCGTTGTCAAATGTTATGAAGTTAATAAGATCTTTTATGTCTTTGGTTAAAAATTTGATAAACTCTGTATATTATTTCTTTTCATGACAGGGACTGCAGTCGTCATAGTCATGCTGGTGACCACATTGCTTATGATTCTAGTCATGCTATTAATATGGCGTTGCCATTGGGTTCTTGTCCTGATATTCACGGGTTTATCACTGGTAGTGGAGGGTACTTACTTTTCTTCTGTGCTCTGTAAGGTCAATCAAGGTGGTTGGGTTCCTCTTGTGATCGCCTTAGCATTTTTTATCATCATGTATGTGTGGCATTATGGTACCAAGAAACGTTACGAGTTTGAGGTGCACAGTAAGGTTTCAATGGCATGGATTCTTGGGCTTGGTCCCAGTTTAGGACTAGTTCGTGTCCCTGGAATCGGACTTGTATACACTGAACTAGCAAGAGGAGTGCCACGCATTTTTTCCCATTTCATCACAAACCTGCCTGCCATCCATTCAATAGTTGTTTTTGTCTGTGTGAAGTTCCTTCCTGTCCACACAGTTCCTGAAGGAGAGAGATTCCTTGTAAAGCGAATAGGACCCATTAATTTCCGTATGTTCCGTTGTGTTGTAAGATATGGGTATAAAGACCTCCATAAAAGAGATGAAAGTTTTGAGAAAACACTCTTTGAAGGTCTCTACACATTTGTCCGAATTGAGTCCTTGATGGACGGGTGTTCAGACTCAGACGACTACAGTATATGTGACCAGGAAACTGAGCAGCCAAATGATGTTCCTCTGAATCACTCCAGCAACACAATGCCATTGAACATGGATGGAACGATTTCATCAGGAGATTCAATCGTGTCTCTTAATGGCCATCTGCATAATAACACTGCCATCGCATCATCTGGTCTTCTAAGCAACCCAGCTGAGGTAAATGAGTTAGAATTTTTGGGTGTCTGTAGAGATGCCGGTGTTGTGCACATACTGGGGAATACAGAGATTCTGGCACGCAGGGATTCAAAGTTCTATAAGAAAATAGCAATCGATCATATATATGCTTTTCTTAGGAAGATATGCAGACAGAACAGTGCAGCTCTCAATGTTCCACATGAAAGTCTCTTAAATGTAGGACAAATCATTCATGTATAGCCATTTGGTAGGGTAGTAAAAGAAGAGTGAGTCATGTTTGCTGTCTTCAACTGGAATTGTTTTCTTGGAGCATAAATGTTTTACCCAAATTTGTTCTTTCCTTGGGCGGGAGCCATTTGAAGGTGACTTGCAACTTTAACACGCGTTGACACTAGCTTCCATGATTCCATAATTGACTCTCATTGATAGCTCGCAAAACTTATTAATCAAAAGCTAAAGAAGACAAGAAGGCTGGTGACTAGCTATCACCTGAACCAACAGTAATGTTGATCGCAGATCTGGTAGTGTTTGGCTTCCCTCATGATGACCGTATATATATTATGACCTTGGACAAATAAACAATTGAAAGATTATTAACTATCATTTTAAATACAAATAGTTTCAGATAGTAATCACTACCAGGAAATTCTTGGGAAAAAGAAACCCGTATTTTCAGGAAAAATCTTCTAGTGTTGAGGATATGCTCTCTTTATCTTGACCATGAAAATCCAGCAACGTATATTTGATTCAAAAGGAAAAGAAAAGACGCTTGTTCTTTGAAAGGGCAATGGGTCAAATGCATACAAGTATGACTTTCTTTGGCATTTACCTTAGCGAGTGGCCCGTTGAACATACACATAGTTTGTCTAATTAGCCAGCCCCGAGAGGTGAACTCTGCAGCAAGCTACTGAGGCATTTGCTTTGTTTGGCATAACCTTAATTTCTGTGTTCATATTTGAAAGCATTTATTTCTGTGTTCATATTTGAAAGCATTTTTTTCCTCGTCCAGGTCAGGTGATTTTCATGTTTTAACGTTGCTCTGACAGATTGATACAATGGTTTTCATGTTGGGAAGTATCCTTAAGTTGCACATATGTGAAGTAGAATTTTTAAAATTTTAAATTAAGTGAGAATTAAAAACTTAGAGTTCAATGTCCTCAGCCCATTCTGTCGACGTAGCCAATTTCGTCGGGGCTGTCGATTCTCCACGACATGCCTGCGGCAGCCCCACTCTGCGCTGCCGATTTTTCTAGCATCACAAGAATTAGGTTATATATAAAAAAAATTCCTAATCTAGTGAAAAATATATTAATTTGTTTTTATGTGTTTTTCATCAATACACTAACCCTAAAGTTTAACATAGAATACTCTTTATTCTTAATAACATAAAGTTTTCTAGACAGATTACTTAAACACTTAATCAATCATAACGGGAAATATATAACCTATTAATTTTCTATTTTGTTTATATGTTTATATGCTTGGTACATTGAAATTATTTTACATGATTTTCTTAACTATTAGAAGTAACATGATTGACATATATGGTACTACAACATTTATGATTTATTTTTTTATTAGCGTGGATGTCTGGACCAGTTTGTACACACCTTGACTAATCTTACGGGCCCTAAAATTGACAAACATGTAAGCCTCCAGTAGCCTTGAGATTTATAAAACTTGAACTGGTGATCTCTAGAAAGCAAATCTAAGATCTGACTAGTTGAGCTATATTTCTCAGGGTTTTTAATAAATGTGACAGTGATGCCAGGAATTTTTCCTGACCTGAGCTATTAAATAAATATATAAATATTTTTTAAGATCAATTATTAACTGATATACATGAATTTTTAAAGTTAATAGTAAAGTTTTAATTCAAATACATTACCTAAAATATTAAAAAATAAATTTAAAAGTATATAAAATTGAAGTGAAAGTAAAAATAAACTTATTATTGAAGTTACATCCTTCAATATTTTATGAAATATAATTCATCTATAATTAAATCTGAATTGATATTTTAACGACTCCTCAACCGGGATAAAATGACAATCTCAAGTCAACTGGAAACAAAGTAATTAGATTTTTTATCTCTCTCAATTCCTCTTTCCTTCACTTGATTCTTTCTTAAATTAGTGTTTTATAAGTTAGACTTTGTAAGTTAGAAAAGTTATTCTCTCACTTTTTTTATTTTTTTCCTTAGGTTTTTTTTTATGTTTTTCCCATACTTTTCTATCTTTCTCTCTCACCTTTTTTTCTTCTACGCAGTCAACAACGTATAAAAGGAAGGAAGAACTGTTTGTTTTATTTTTCAATGAAAAATAATTATTTTACCCTTAATGAGTCATTTTGCTTTTATTTGATGATTTTTTTTTGTTAGCACTACCAAACTCTGTTCGTCTTAAAATTTTAGCCAAATTTTATTTAATATATTTTAAGATTCCTTGTAAAATTTTAACTTAATCCAATGGTTGGATTGAAAATCACATCTAATTACATAAAACTAGTCAAATTATGATTTTTCATTAAATTTATGAATTTCTCTAAAAATTTAGAAATGTTAACCCAAGCTAAAACATCATATTAGAAAGCTCCACGTAAATTTTCAAAAAAATTTATAACTCAATCAAGAATTATGAAAAGAAATTTATATAAAACTAATAAAAAAATATTAATAAAATCTTAACCTGGACTATAGCTCATCCAAGCATTTAACTTGATGCTTGTGTTGTTATGTATAAATCTTAAGTTAATGATATCTTTAAAATTTTTAGTTGATAATTAAATATGTAATGATGAGATTGAGATGTTAATTAATTTAAAAATAGCAATAACTTCTTAAATTATTTTGATTATCACATTAAAGTTCATTAAATTAATGTGCTCATAAGGTGCATAACTTGGTTGCAATTATTTTATAAAAGTAATGACTTTGCCTAATAGGGAGGTTGTTATTTTTATTATTTAATTGGAATAAGATAATAAATGGACATTAAGGATGAATTTTATTCTAGGCCCTCGGGTGTGAAGAAATTTTATTCTTGATACTTTAATTTATTAGTATTATTATTATTAAATAATTAGTAAGTTCTATATATGATGCAACTTGTACTCACAAGAGGTTAGCATTTACTACTAAATTGACATTGATTAATTCATATAAAGTATATGTCTTATAGCATTAGAGTATTTTTCTTGATTATTACAATCTTTTTTATTGTTTTTATTGATACATCTAGTATCCTAATGTTTTTATGGTGATAATGTTGTTTATTGTAAGGAAAGTATTCATTTTTCATTAAGGTGTGTGGATTTGGCTTTACATATGGATGAACCACCCATTCTTATGGAATCAATAAATGCTTAGAAAAATATTGATTATAAACTGTGGAAGTGATCTAATCGCTTAAGTTTAATGCTCATAAAATATTATATAAGTAAGAGTATTAGAGGTTTTATCCCTTAATACTCTTAGGTAAAAGATTTCCTGAAGATTGTAGATGATCAATTTATTCATTTTGATTAAAAATTGACCAACATTAAAAAGGCTTTTAGATAAGTTATTTGACTATTATAAAGGTGTGTGCAAACACATTATGAAAATGAAAGACATTGCTGATTTTAGTATCTGTGTAGATTGCATAAAGGGAAAGTAAACTAACAAGACCATTAAATGTGTCACGCAGAGCTTTAAATTTTTAAAATCATACATATTGATATTTATGGACCATTTCATATTTCATGCTTGAATGGTCAGAGATATTTTATTTCATTCATTGATAATTATTCTATATTTATATATCTCTATCTCTTATTTTATAAGGCTGAAACACTTGATGATTTTAAGACTTATAAAGCTGAGGTAGAGAAATAAAAGAAAAAAGGACCATAAAGATTGTAATGTCAGATAAAGGTGGAGGGTATTATGATAGGTACATAAAAAAGTGGACAAACATCAGGTTAATTAGAAAAGTTTCTTGAAGAAGAGGACATTATTACATAATCGATGTATGTCACAACACAATAAAATGGTGTAGCTGAAAGAAGAAATCGTACATTTATGGACATCATAAAAAGCATGATTAATAATTCTAGTATACTATTATCCTTATGGAGCAAGCGCCAAAGATTGTTTTGTATATTTTAAATAGGGTTTCATCCGAAGCTATGTTTAGGACACCTTTTTAATTATAGAATGTATTAAAACCCAATTTAAATCATACACATATATAAGGTATCTTGTTGAGGTAAGGGTTTATAATCTTCAATTAAAGAAATCAAACCCAAGAGCAACTAGTATATATTTTATTGGTTATCATAATATAACTATAAAGAATATAGATTTTATTATCCTTCTCATAATACAAAAATAGTAAAGGCAAAAAATATTAAATTCTTTAAGGATCTCAATTTCAGTAGGAGTAATTTTTCTAGAATGATAGAATTTAAAGAAACATAAGATTCAATTGAGTTGTATAAAGATAAAAGATTTCTGGTTATTGTTCATGAAAATTATTTAGATGATTTTGAACAATAATCAATTCAAGGGCAACCAGTTCAAGAACAACTAGCTCTTGATGATGGAAACCCAATGAAAAAAAATAAATTAAGAAGATCTCCAAAAACAAAGAGAACAACAATTTTTAATGACCATGTTGTGTACCTTTAAGATTTTAACTTTGATGTTAAGTCTAAAGATGATCCAAATTCAATTTTATAAGCCATTAATGGAGAAAATTATACATATGGTATAATGCCATGAAGAAAAAAATAGAGTATATGTCTAAAATCAAGTTTGAGACCTTATCGAATTGCTTGAAAGTTTTAAAATTGTTAGTTATAAATGGGTTTGTAAGACCAAAAAAGATGTTTTTAGTAATATCGAGCGATATAAAGCTAGACTTAAAGATAAGGTTTATACTCAAAAGGAATGTATTGACTACCATGAAACCTTCTCTCTAATTTTTAAAAAGGTTTCATTTAAAATAATAATAATAATAATATCATTAGCAACTCGTTTTGATTTAGAGCTACATTAGATGGATGTGAAATCAACATTTCTAAATATAAATTTAGATGAAGAGGTATATATGAATCAATCTAAAGGTTTTTGTGATGATAAAAATGCCACTTGTATGATAAGTTAAAGAAATCAATATATAAACTAAAATGGGCCTCCCAACAATGATATATTAAATCTCATAATAGTATAGTCTCATATGGTTTTATTAAGAATATTATTAATTAATGTATATACCTTAAGGTTAGGAGGAACAAATATATCTTTCTTATCGTATATGTAGATGATATTTTGCTTGCAAGCAACAACTTAGGTTTGCTACATGATACAAAATAAATCTTTTAAAAAAAAATTAATATGAAGAATTTAGATGAAGCCTTTTATATCAT